CAGCAAGTGCATAGGTCCTACAGCAAAACTCCTAAAGAGAGACAGAGAGAGAGAATAGCGTCAAAATGTCTGTACTACCAAAGCAATACACAGATTTAATGCAATATGCATTAAAATGTTGATGACATTCTTCACATAAATAGGAAAAAAATCATAAGATGTGCATGTAATCACAACAGATCCTAAAAAACCTAAGCAACCCCAATCAAAAACAACAGAGTTGGAGGCATCATACTACCAGATTTCAAAATATACAAGAATAATAGAAAGGTTTTGTTACAAAAAAAGAAAAACAAACAAACAAACAAACATGGTACTGGCGAAAAACAGATACAAAGATCAACAGAATCGAATAGAGAACCCAAAAATAAATCTACATATACACGGCCAGCTAATTTTTGATAAAAGTGCCAAGAACAACCATTATAGAAAAGACAGTCTCTACAATAAATGGCACTAGAAAAACTGGACATCCATATGCAGAAGAATAAAGCTAGACCCATATGTCTTAGCACATACAAAAACTGAGTCCATATGGACTAAAGATTGAAACATAAAATCTGAAACTATACAGCTACTAGAATAAACATGGGGAAAAAGCTTCAGGACAACAGTTTGGACAAAGAGTTCTTGAATAAAACCTGAATAGCACAGCCAACTAAAGCAAAAATAGACAATGGAATTAAATTAAACCAAAAATCTTTGGTACAGCAAAGAAAATAATCAGGAGAGTGATGAGACAACCCATAGAATGGGAGAAAATATTTCCATACTATATCTCTCTGACAAGGGGTTGAGAACCAGAATACATAAGGAACTCAAACTCAGCAGAAAAAATAATAATAATAACCATATTTTAAATGGGCAAATGACTGAATAAATAATTCTGAAAATAAGTCAAATATATGAAAAAATGCTCAACATCACTAATCATTAGGGAAATGCAGACTGGAACCATAATGAGGTATCATCTCATCCCAGATAGAATGGTTATCAAAAAGACAAAAAGTGGGACCAGCAGTTAGCGTAATGGCTATGTCGCTGGACTCCCACGTAGTCAACCACAGTTCGCGTACTGGACCCGGTGGCTTAAACCTCACAGTAGGCATGTGTGCGTGCATGCCCAAGATCCCGAAAGGAGAATGGAGGAGAAGGGATTGCAGCATGGCCATCCCCCCTGGGGGGTGATTTCTCGCTTTCTGTCTTTCTGTCTGTCTCTATCTGGCAAGTGCACACGCCCTAAGGCAAAACCTCTAAAAAAAAAAAAAAAAAAAGTGCTGATGAGAATGTGGAGAAAGGGGCACTCTTTTACATTGTTAGTAAGCATGTATCAATAATTAGTAAAACCATTATGGAAAACAGTAAGAAGTTTCCTCAAAATACTAAAAAATAAAACTTTCATATGACCCACCAACCATGCTAATAGGTATATATCCAAAGGAAAGGAAATCAATATATCACAGGGATATCTTCACTGCAATGATTACTGCAGCACTATTAATAATGACCAAGAAAAGGAATCAGCTTAAGTGTACATTAATAGACAAATGGATAAAGAAAATATAATACATTTATACAATGGAGTACTACCTAGTCATTAAAAACGATGAACTCCTGTCATCTGAAATTAAATGAATAGGAAGAACATTATGTGAAGTAAAATAAGCGAGGTACAGAAAGAGAAAATACCACATGTTCTCCTTTATATGTAGAAACTGAAAAAAATAAAAAGACCTCATAGAAGTAGGGAGATGAAGAATGACTACTAGAAGCTGGGAAGGATGGGGGAATGGGGAACAGAGGAACGTTGATTAGTAAGAACAAAATTACAAAAATATGAGGAACAACTTCTAGTATTATAAAATACAGTAGAAAGAAAGAAGTTAACTTACTGAGTATCTCACAGTAACTAAAAGAGAGGATTTCAAATGTTCCCAACACAAATAACAAATGGTCGAGACAATGGGTATATCAATTAACCTGATTTTCTCATTATACATTGCATTCTTGTACTGAAAAATCATATTGTTGGGACCCGCTGTTGGCGTAATGGCTATGTCACTGGACTCCCATGTAGTCGACTGCAGTTTGAGTCCCAGACCTGGTGGCTTAAACTCATGCCAGGTGTGTGTGCGTGCATGCCCAAGATCCTGAGAGAAGAATGAAAGAGAAAAGATTGCAGCATGACCATCCCCCTGGTGGGGTGATTCTTGCTTTCTGTCTCTCGGTCTCTCTCTGTCTTTCTGGCAAGTACCCACACCCTATAGCAAAAAACAAACCTCTCCAAAAAAAAAAAAATCATATTATACTCAACAAATATGTATGATAATTATGTTAAAAAATAAATAACAATTTTGAAAGACCTAATAACTTATCTCTTAGCCAATTCCTATCTTAGGAATTCCAAAATGTAATTCTTTTCTTATTTTAACCTTGGCAGACAAGTGGGGGATTGACATTGATATTCCATAATTGCTTATATTCTGTACTACACTAATCTCCATTCTCATGCTGCAAGATCTATCTTCTTACTGTTTATGAATTTTTCATGTTTGCTGTTAAAACTGATTTAGAGCCAAATAATCAAGACTTCTACTACGTTTGTTCTTCCTCACACAATATGGCTATTTAATGTATTAATATGCAGTGAATAAATATTGTGAATAAAAAGTATTATAATTTGTATATTTTAATATTTCTGGACTTAATAAATTTAAATGTTCAGTCATTTCATATTTTGTTCCAATAATCCCCCTTGGATCATTCTGATATTTTAGCAATGTAAAAATCTTTCTCTATAGCCTTATAGAATTGTAATCAAACAGCTTTTGCTCAGAACTTAAAAAGACATTTGTCCTTAGGGCTAAAATTAAGCACCAAAAAGATGAAAAACAAAAGCAAATTTAGAATATAATCAGTACTTTCAAAATGAGCACAATCTGCCCTTCATCTTCATTTATAACACTTGCTTCTTCTTAGCTTCTAATAGAATAAGCAGTAGTTATATAAAGAAAATATTTACATTTCTGAGGGTCCAGAAAACAGATAAACCTCACAAGTTTGTGCCTTTTGTGATTTACAGTGTCACGGGGTGTCTTGGTTGGTATAATTCTCATAATGATCACACTCTGGGTAGAAAACAAGTTCAAAGTTCTGTACCTTTTCACCAGATGTCATAGGTGGGAATGTGCAGAGGTGCCTCGCATATCACAGCATTAGCAAAGGGACTTCCAAAGTTAATTGAAGTGTCAACAGAATCAAGAGCTATTAAAAATGCAGAGACTAGAGTTTATGGGACTACATCAGGCCAGGAACCCAGTTGGAAAGTAGTTCAGAGACATTTGTTTTGACAGTTTGGAAAGAACTGGAAAACAATATAACTAATATTTGTTGGGATTTGATGTGAGTTATCTTCTCACACCTGGAGTTGGAGCCAATAACCTAAGTGATTTTCAAATAGATTTCTAGAGGGGCCAGCAGGTGGCATGATGGTTGGGGGCTCTGGGCTCCCACATAGCTGACCACAGTTCAAGTTCCAGACTTGGTGGCTGGCTTGCTCTCTTTCTCTCTCTCTCTCTCCTCTCTCACCTCTCTCACTCTGCCCTTTTGTAGTCAAATTAAAATAAATAAATAAATAAGCAAAGATAAAAAATAATTCTTAAAATTTCCAGAATTTAAATAAGGTGTTCACCAATTGACATACAGATTTCATGAGTCATCATATTTTTCATATCCCCCTTATACTTTCTTCTGTTTAAAGTTTATTTCTTTCTTCTGAGAGAGGAAAGAAAGAGAGAGAAGACAGAGATAGAGACAGGTATGCCCAAGAGGGTCATGCCATGATCTACCGAGTCTCAGCTGGCCTGGATCATGGGCACATGTGTACCTGGTGTGCTCAGGAAGATGCTGGGAGGTGACCTTTCCCATGTGGGCCCATGATCATTGTATCAGCCCACCGACCCTCTATCCACCTCTGCTCCACACACCTAAATTTTCAGTTTTAAACTCACTGAGCTCCTTGTAGCTCTTAAAAGCTGCTTAGGGTTAAATACTTCTGTGCTGTTGCATACACTCTCTCCTCCATGCAGTGTGCCTGCCTTTTTTTCCGAGGCTTTTGCCTTAGGGTATATGTGCTCACTGGAGAGGGACAGAGACAGTGAGAGGGAAAGTGAGAAATCACCCCTCCAGGGGACAGGCACGCTGAGATCCCTTCTCCATTCTCCTCCCAGCATCTTGGGCATGCATGCACACCCAGTGTGATTTTCAAGTCACCAAGTCTAGGACTTGAACCGCAGTCAGCCATGTGGGAGTCCAACCACGTAACTGACACGCCATCTGCTGGCTCCCATGCAGTGTTCTTTCTTACCCCTCCATCTGCCTTCCAAACGAACTCAGAGGAACCTGGCTTTTCTGAGCTCTTTCCAGAAATACAAAAAGAAAAAATACTCCCTCCCCTACTACAGACACTGATAAAACCTCCTTCCCTTGTGTTGGTTACTGATTTATAGTTGGAGTTTCTATATCAAATTGAAATTAATATTGTGACAGTGGGCCTGTTATAGGACCTGGCTTGCACTAAACATGCAGAAAATGGTGATGGCTTGCATGTGTCGCTAACCACAGGTGGGGAGTAGTGTTTAGTCGACCTCCTGCTCTGGGGGAACTGTCAACTTCTGAAAGTGAAACAGCCATATAAGAAATAAGGAGAACGTTTTAGGAACACCTTTGCCAAGCAGAGAACACAAAATATCCCCAATTTAGTCAAATACTCGTATTTTAATTCTTCCAGGAGTCGAGAGTTATATGCAATCTCAGGAGTCTCTAAATAGACTATGATCATAATTTGACCTGATCACTGAACATTTAGCTCTTTTTCACAGGAAAATACACAGCATTCAAGTTGATGAAGTTGCTCAGGTTTACAATACCCTCTTCCGTCCACTAGCAGTCATGCCTATTTATAGTGACACACCCAGGTGCAAATAGCAAAGAAGTCTTACTCAGGCTCGTGCTGTCCAGCTCTAAGAGAAAACCGGCTGCGTGGGGAGTCATCCAGTTGTTTTTTCCGGTAACTGCCTGTGTATGTGGTCGGGGAAGAATTGGACCATCGTGTTTCATTCTGCCAAGATACTCCGGCCTTGCGTCGGATCAGATCAAACTCCTGAGAAGTCAGAGGGCTAAAGGGCAGAAGAATTTGTGGAGTCAAGTACAAGATGTGTGACATAGCTGTGGACGGTCTGCTCGGAATGACTGCTTTTCAAGCCCTCTACATAATGAAGAATGAATTTCCTTCCAGTAGCAGGGAGCAAGTGACCTGGCTCGCCCAACGCGGTTAACTCTGACAGTTCAGAGGGTGGAAGCTTAATTGTCTTAGAAATAGTTGCCAAGCAGCAGATCACCGAAGTCCACAAATACTAGCCCTCACCCCTCAAAATTGTAACTAAGAAATTTATACATTATGTAACTTTCTGGCCTTTGCTCTAAGAAATATACTGCCCTGTAATTATGGCAGGAAAGTAGGTGGCAAAATTATTTATAATATTACCATGATGACAAATAAAGCAATGATTCCTAATGATGGTGTTATAAGAAGTGAGAACAAGAGACCAAAAGACTGTGCCGGGTATTCATTTCCCCTAAAGACTTAGCTTCCAAGTGTTTGGAAGAGAACATGACATCGTGTGATGTCAACAATAGCAGGTGACTCAAGGGCATCTCATATGTCATAGAGCCAGTGGTGCTTGGCTGCCTACACACTGAAGTCACCCAGGAGCTGTTAAAATAAGAAGTCCATGCGCCGACCCCATAGATTCTGATTTAATTGGTCTGGGGGAGAACCCAGGCATCGGTATATTTTTAAAAGTTTAATCCTGGAGGATTGTAAAGAGCAGCCAGGGTTAAAAAGTAAAGACCACAGAAATGGCAGAGTGAATCTTCCCGATGTTGAGGAGTCATAGCCTTCCACCTTCTATTAGCACGATTCTCTCTATCTCTCCAGTCCTGGTGAGTGTGTTTGCCCATTCTCACTCCTTGGATTCAAATAATTCATTGGCAAATCAAAATGATATTGATCTTTAAACATTCTTTCTTTATCAACACTTGGTGCAGTAGCTCTCAACCCTCAGTGCTCATTCAAGCAACCTGGGGAATTCTTTATAAACACAGATGCCATGTCCCTCCTTAGAGGTATTGATCAATAACTGCAGGTGGAGCCATCATCAACATTGGAAAAAGGAATCCCTGTAGGTGATCAGCACTGATGGGCATCTTAAACACATGGAGCCTCAGCCTTTGAGTCTGCAGGTCTCAGGCCAAGGCCAGGAATCTGCGTTTTTATACTGTTAGGTGATGCTGAGGTTGTTGATCTTTGAATACAGGGGACTCAGCTGCAGGGGTTGAATTCACAGTCTGCTAGTTTAACTGGCCCGCTGCCTGCTCTGTTCCTCTGAGAATGCAATTATCAGCAAATGTTTGTTAGTATATTACATTACAGGTTTCTTTCCTTAAAAGGTTAGAATTTGGAACATAAGCACCTTAGCCCTAGGCAAAAGATTAGGTAGATGTTGGTGTGGACTCAGCTACTCTTTTTCATGGAGTTGAAGACTTCTTGGAGAAATCTAGATGAAATCAAAGAACTGGAGATAAGGAGTGAAAGAGAAGAAAGAAAAACGGGAATCCCAAGGTTTTCCCAACCCCTCCAGTATCAAGTAGTGGCTGCTTATTATACTTTTAACTTTATCCATTCTAGCAAAAATTGTGGTTCCACTTAAAGAAAATTCAACTAGCAATATGTATTGAGACAGGAAAACAAAGAACAACTGGAAAGATTATTTGTAGAAAACATTTTAAAATTTTCTTCTCAAGTTATGGGGGCAGTCTATAAACAAATACAAAATAAAACATCTTTGAAAAATAGGGGGGGAACCAGCTTTTAGCATAATGGCTATGTCGCTGGACTCCCACGTAGTCGACCGCGGTTCGCGTCCCAGACCCGGTGGCTTAAAACTCACGCCGGGCGCGTGTGCATGCGTGCCCAAGATCCCGAGAGGAGAATGGAGGAGAAGGGATTGCGGCATGACCATCGCCCCTGGGGGGTGATTTCTCACTTTTTGTCTCTATGTCTCTGTCTGTCTGGTGAGCGCACACGCCCTATAGCAAAAACCTCCAAAAAAAGAAACAAAAAAAAAAAGAAAAATAGGGGGTCAGGTGGTGGTGTGCTGGTAATGCTACTGGACTCACATGGGAAAGATCCTGGGTTCAGATAAGGGACTTTCCTGAACCTACCAGGTGCACACCTGCACACTCATGATCCAAGTTGACTAGGACTGGGAGTAGATTGTGGCATGAAGACCTTCTTGGGGTCTCTCTCTTGAGAAATAAAGTTTTAAAAACTGTAATAAAATAGAAGACCAGCAGTTCGAGTAATGGCTATGTCGCTGGACTCTCATGTAGCTGACCGTGGTTTGAGTCCCGGACCCGGGGGCTTAAACTCACGCCAGGCGTGTGTGCGTGCGTGACCAAGATCCCAACAAGAGAATGGAGGAGAAGGGATTGTGGCATGGCCATCCCCCCCTGGGGGGTGACTTCTTGCTTTCTGTCTCTCTGTCTCTCTCTTTCTGGCGAGTGCATGCGCCCTATAGCAAAAACCTCTCAAAAAAAATTATAATAAAATAAGGCCAGAAGATGGCAGGCTGATTAAGGCAACTGGATCCCACATGGCCATGTCTGTGGTTAGAGTCCCGTACTTGGAGGCCTGAAAAACATACTGTGTGTGTGCCAAAAATCCTGAGAAGACAATGGAGAAAATATTGCAGCATGGCCAACCCCCTGAGGGGGATTTCTCACTTTCCCTCTCTCTGTTTCCTTCTGTCTCTCTCCAGAGAATGCATGTGCCCTATGGCAAAAAATTTTTTAAATAAATAAATAATCAATAATTGTGTAATATATTTTAAAATCACTTCTTTCCTCTTTTTATTTCTTCTCCCATAATCAATTATGATGTCATTTTAACAACTGTTAAACTGTTAAATCAAGTACCAAAGATAATAAAACTTAAGTGACAATGTCTGCTATTGGTTTTAGATGGAATTATGACTTAGTTCATCAGTCTACTAGATGTTGAAGAGTCCATTAAAATAAGGTGGACTTCAAATTAGAGAACAGAACAGACTGATTACATGATTATCACAAATGTTTAATCTGTAGAAACTCTAAAGGTGACCCGGCCGCAGCAGCACAGGCAGGAGACCCACTGCATGATACTGGAGGTATATGGGAGGCCCTGGGGTTCAGATTCCTGGTCAACCTGAGCTCACTGAGCATGCCCATGACCCTGGCTGGCTGGAAGGCTGGGGCAAATTGCAGTGTATCAGGCTCCTGTTAAGGCTATGTCCCTTTCTCTCTTTTTCTCTTTCTCAAGAAATAGACTTAAAACAAATAGAATTCTGAAGGGCCTCATCCTCATTTTCTGTTCTCACATTTTCTCAGATATTTCACTTCTCAGGCATACTGATGTCAGTGCTGACTTGAACAGTCTGACTTTCATGCTGTTGAGTCTGCACTAAAATTTTCCTTTGTAAATGAATTATGGCAAGCTGTGTTGCTCAACCCCTAATGTCAAACGTGACCCCTGAAGTCTAACGAGAGCACTGTGACAATGAATTCTGGATTCTGAGTGCACTTCAGTGAAAACAGCAGCTTATAAGTGGCCCCATACCAAATAAAACCAGTAGGGGGTGCACATATCACCTGATGCATGGGAGCCTTTGGTGGGCAGTCCTTGACCACGCTTTTTTGTAAAAGTTAGCTACTGAGGTGCTAAATTGATTAATTAATGGGTATACTTTAATTTCATGTTAAGTATGTTCAGAATAAGTTGAAGAGCATGCGCCTTTGCTTTCAGAGCCTTACATATCTCAGTGAATCAATAAATTGTATGTCTTTCAAAGGGGCCCAGATTATGCAGCACTTCCTAAACTTATTTGATCACAAAACTTATTTCATGGAGAACATCTCTGTGGATTTCTATTCTATGGAACAGTCCAGAAACTAGAAAGCCTAGACGTCTTCGCTGGTCTGCAGTCTCTCCACTAGATTCCAACTAGATCTCCAGCCTACAGCACGGACAGCCCTGAAAGAGGAGGAATCAAGCAGTATTTTGTTTAAAACTAGAGAGAGACGAACCAGCAGTTGGCATAATGGCTATGTCACTGAACTCCCCATATAGTCTACTGCAGTTCGAGTCCTGGACCCGGTGACTTAAACTCACACTACGCGTGTGTGCCCAAGATCTTGAGAGAATGGAGGAGAAGGGACTGCGGCAAGTCTATCCCCCCTGGGAGATGATTTCTCTCTTTCTGTGTCTCTGTCTTTCTGGCATGTGCATGAGCCCTATAGCAAAAACCTCTCCAAAAAAAAAATTATATATATATGGAGAGAGAACATCAAACAAAACACACATATGTGTTTTTTATATGTGTACGGCCATGTAACGACAACCCATATTCAGTATTCTAGAAGGTTCATCCATGTGTTTCCAGTCAAAACAGCATGTGCACACTAGCACACACACACACAAACACACCACCAGTAACTATTTCTATTTCTGTCACCACAGATGAGACATGTCAGGCTATATTCTGTGAAGGCAGGAACTTCCTAATGTGATAAGATGAAACCCAGGTAATATAAAGACCAGAGAAGGCAGAAAGATTTCCTCTGAGAAAAAATACTCCATATGAACCTGAAGCCACCGCCACCATCCCAGCAAGAACCTGTCTCTTCCCCATGAGGTGCCAAATTCCAGTATGTGGATGACTGTGGCTAACATCTGAATGAGCATGCTTGATGTGTTGTAGCTCTTTGCTGATGGAGTCTATCAGTGATGATAATGATAATTCTTAGTCCTTGATCTTAGGATCTATGTTTCACGCTTACCAACCAACCGTGTAATTTGGAAATTTTAGTAACCTATCAAAAAGTATGTGGTATATAGTCTAAAGGTTACAGGAAACAGGGAACCAGTTGGGACAGAACTAGATGGAGATGAAAGAAGGGGAAATTACAAAGGAACAGGAAAAGGAAATTGATAAAAATTCATGAGGAGAAGCCTAAAAGGAAGGATCTTTTTTCTTTGCTTTCCTGAAATTTATTTTTAGCTATATTTACTATTTGAAAACTGAAACTGATTAAAAATAGTGTATATACTGTGATCCCAATTTTGCTTAATAAAAACGTATTTGTGTACATTCAGAGGGCCTGGAAAACCATATGTAAAATGGTAATACAGCTCAGTGAGAAGAAATCATGATTTCTATATTCTATATACTTTATTTTCTAGATTTTTACAATGGACATTAACTTGCAATCAGAACCAAATTTTGCTTTATAAAAACAAACTTAAGACCTCCACATATAGTCAATCCAAGAATCTATTTTGTGTTTAAATTTACTCTTCTACTTTTTTCTATAGCCCAGGCCTTAAAGAAACCTCTCATGCAGAGATCAGAACCAAGTCAATCAAATATGACACTTTTTAAA